AGTGTATATAAATGATTAGTTAACTGATTAAAACAACATAATGTAATTAATGATGCACTGGTCTGTCCCTCGTAGCCAGAGGAACTCCAAGCATTGCCGGTAGCTTGGAGCGCTATCTGGTGCTGCTGTCCTTCGTTGCCAGAAGAGCCCTCAGGCAAGCTCCCTTGCCCTCCAGCACTATCTGGTGTTGGAGTAGATGGTGGGTTTTTAAACCTCCAGTTGAATCTACTCGTGTTGCTAAGTACTGAGGTGCTCGTCCTTTCTTCTTTACATACGTTGATGATTTTTCCAGTGTTTAAGAACAAACAAATGATATACTGATAAATGAATTTAAATGATGAAAATAAGTAATCTTTCTTTATCGTCCCCTTTGTCTGGTTGCATTGCCTCGTAACACGGACAATGACCTGCTTAAAACCTTTAACATTCCCTTTTCTTTTCCAAAAATAATCACTTTTTACATTTGATTTATTTAGAAGCTTTAAAATAAATGATTTCAAAACATATGATAAATGATTTCACAAATTAATGACTTTAAGGATTAAAATGACTTCAGGAAGGAGCATATGCCAAAACAAAATAACAACCTCTAACTCTATCCCCATATTCTAATACTACTACATTATAAGAAAAGAAAATACAAAAATAACAAAATAGAAAAACAAAAGGCACTCCTTCCCTACTATTCTGTTGTTATTTCAGGAAGGTGTTACTCAAAGTCGTCCAGTTCATCCAGTCCAGGTCCCACTGTATACATGTTGGTCAATCCAATATCAACTCCAGCTGGCTTTACCGATACGTTAATCATCTGTTTGGCTGCAGCATTGGCCAGCATTGATCTGATGAAAGGCATAATACAACAAAACAACAAAAGAAACACAACAACAGCAATGCCAACTATGATGCTCTGATGAAAGGAACAAAACAACAAAAGAAACACAACAACAGCAATGCCAACTATGATGCCCACTCTAGTTAACCATTGTCCCATTGTCCCAAAAAATGAATTAAACCAATCCCAATTTTGCATGTCTGCTCCAGCGTTTTTGGTCACTTCTTCTCTCAGGTTTTTCAGTTTCTCCATAGCTTTGGTGAATGATCCATCTGGGGCTGTATTGTTTGGAATATAAGTACAACAGTCAGAACCAAACATTACACACCCTCCTCCTTTTTCTGCCAGGAGCCAATTCAGTGCTTGTCTATTCTGCCATGTCATTTTACTTGTGGGACCCAATTGTTGTCCTAGGGCATCTAAGGCATTATCAGTATAATTGATGAATCTCTGTTGATTATAGTAAATATAATTGAACCATTCTAAGTTGTTATTTGGGGTTATCCATACAAGTATAGACTCAAATCCAGACTTGATCTCATTTCTTGCTTTATATTTCTCTGGTATTCCCCTTGGTTGGCCTATCACATCTAAGTATACCTCTGGATCTGCTTCATAAGCTCTTTTGACTATGTCTTTTTAGTTGGGTCTGCTTAATTTCATTTAATTCTCCTTCAATCACTGTCACAATGTTTGAATGGACCTTCTGGGACTGGTATGTGGCCAGTGGGAGCAGATATTCCTTTTCTAACGTTATTCTGGGCACACACTTCACACTCTGACAGATACCCATCCACCATAGCTTGTAAATAAGGCGACCAATATCCCTGCCGCTTTATCTTTCTAATCACTTCTCCCCTCGCGCAATGATCAAAACCATGCGCGTCAGAGATGAGGATTGTAAGCAAAGGTGTGGGAGCTATCATGTGTCCCTCATGAGAACGCCAAACTCCATTTACATCTCGAGTTGCCCCTCTGTGCTGCCACACACTGACTTCATATGGAGTAGCTTGTTGTTGCATTCGTGCAACATCAGCCAACTGAGGTTGAGGTTGAATCAAAACAGAAGGAGCCATTATTGCTGTTGTACAACCAGAAGCTTGCTTAGCATATTGATCTGCCGCATTATTGCCCTTAATTACAAAATCATTGCCTTTTTTATGTGCTTGACATTTGATGATGGCCAATTGTTTGGGTTGCATCATGGCTGATATTAAATCAATTATCTGATTACTATGCTGGACAGGCGTACCATCGCTTTTCTTAAAGCCTCTTTGCTTCCAAACTGCTCCAAAAAGATGGCATACGCCATGTGCATATGCAGAATCTGTGTAGATATTTACTTTCAAATCTTTGGCCAGCCTACAGGCTTCAGTTAGAGCTTTCAATTCCGCCAGTTGTGCTGAGCATGGTTGTTCACAATGCTGCACCACCACTGGGATAAAATCATCATCAACTCGTTTCACAACTGCAAATCCAGCATGATTTCCTAAATGGTCTTTAAAACATGAACCATCCACAAAATAGTCAACATGTGCTTTTGGAATTGGTGTTGACTCTAGATCTGGTCTCAATCTAGTAAAGGCTAGAGAGTCAGCTACACACTCATGTGGTGTGCCTTCATCATGTAATGGTATGAAACTCGCTGGATTTACTGTTGTGCATCTCTTAATTGTAATGTCTGGGAAGGTCAACAATGTTGAGTAAGCTATACATCTAGAAGGAGTCAAGACAAACTTCCCTTGTTCTATCAGTTCTACTACTTTATGGTGAGTGTAGAGCACAACTGGGTACCCCATAGTTATTGTGGAGGCCTTTTCATATGCAAAATATACTGCTGCTAACCCTTGTTGGTAACATGGTGGGTAACCTTCAGCTACATTGTCTAATTTTGTGCTATAATAAGCAATTGGCTGTTTTTTCCTTCCGCTGCAAGTTTCCTGCATCAAAACTGCAGATGCATAACCATCTTTTCTGTTTGCAATGTACAAATGAAATGGTCTGTCATATGTGGGCATGGTCAAGGCAGGAGCGGTCTGTAGTTCTTTTTTCAATGATTCAAATGCTATTAGTGCTTCTGTGTTCCATACTAGTGGTGCCCTAAGATTTTGACAGCCCACTTGCTTCATTAGTGCTCTTAATGGAGCTGTTTTGATTGCATAGTCCTCAATCCAATCTGCACTAAACCCTGTCATACCCAAAAAAGTCAACATTTGTCCCACTGTTTGAGGTTGGGGAACTTTACTGATGCCTTCCAATTGACTGGGCGATACAGCTTTCATCCCATGTGAAATAGTGCGTCCTAAGTATTCAACTTGTGGTAAGCAATATTGCAATTTTGCTTTAGAGGCCTTGTGTCCCCCCTCAGCTAATTTATTGAGTACTTTAATTGAGTCTTGATGACATTGTTCCAAAGATGTTGAACAAATTAACAAATCATCTACATATTGTATCAATGTGCTGTCTAACCTAAGTTCTTCTAATTCTTCTTTTAAAATCTGATTGTATACATGGGGTGAGTGTTTGAAGCCTTGGGGCATTCTCGTGTAGGTGAGTTTTTTACCTTGATAGGTGAACGCAAACAAAGGTCTGCTCTCCTCGGCTAAGGGAACACTGAAAAAAGCTGAACAAAGATCAATTACAGTATAATAATTAGCAACAGATGGAACATTGGTTAACAACGTATGCGGGTTTGGAACTTCAGCTGGCCAATCCTCCACAACCTCATTCACTGCTCTCAGATCATGCACCAGACGCCACTTTGATTTATCTGCTTTAGTTACTGGCAATATTGGGGTGTTACAATAACTAGTAGTTTCAACAAGCACTCCTGCTTTCATTAGTCCTTCAATTGTCTTTTTTATTCCCTCTACTGCTTCTGGTTTCAAAGGGTATTGCAATTTTCTGGGTACTTTAGCTCCTGGTTTAAGTACTACTTTAATTGGATTGGCTGATTTTACTAACCCCACATCTGTGTCATGTTGAGACCATAATTCTAATGGTACTTGTCTCTCCATGTCTTTTAACAATTCAGTTTGCTTTGTTTGATGTTCTTTAACTTTTGGCTCAACTCTTGTGTTTATTACCATTCTGGGGACACCTATCATTGGAGTAGCACACAAAATCTTAAGATATTCTTTGTCCGCTATTTGGAAAATTAGAGGATTTTCTGTGGCTTCCCACTTGCTTTTTTCTGCTCGTTTCATCATGGGTCCTAAATCTTTAGAGAGACAATCTTTATTTACATATAATGTAACATGTGGCACTGAGTTAGGTACTGCGAACCAGTCATCTATGAATCTTTCCCTGTCTATCTGCAGAGCTACACCTTTGGGTCCTATTATTATGCTTTGTGATATCATGGGGATTTTCAATCCTTTTGTGTCTTTTAGCCATTTCTTTTCAAAATCTGGATTTTTGCTTTCATCATACTTCATAGTACAATGAAATTCAGTTTTTGGTAAGCTTGGTTCACATAGCTGTTCCCTTATATATCTTCCCCATTTACTAATTGTTTTTTCTACATCTTCTTTTAAATCTCCTAACCAATACATGTTAGCACATGGTTCTTGTGCTTGTTGTGATGTTGAAACATTCATTTGTCTCATTGCCCTATCATCTATATAAATTCCCTCTGGTGTACACCATATCTGCATTTTTAATTTACATATGGCATCCCTACCTAACAAATTTACAGGTGTGTGTTCGGAGACTAATATTGGTATTCTAATTTCAGTGTTTTTCAGGCTTATGCTCACAGGGGCTGTCATAGGAAGTAGCTGAGTTGTTCCCGAGAATCCTACTGTCTTTATATATTTTCCGGACATGGGGAGGTGCGAAGCATATCTTGGATTCAAACATGAGTACGTTGCCCCTGTGTCGAGCATGAGAGAAATGGGTTTTCCTTCGATATTGGCTTGCAGCATTGGTTCTTGATCAGCATCACATGATATTATTGGAAGCTGATTCCTCCCTGTA